TTTCTTAACATGGTAGGATGAAGCTCGCACACGACAATCGAGACGTGATAGATAATTATAAATTAAGTACCCGTACGCGTTTTTTTTATGCGGTGGAGAAATATGTTGCAAGTGCCTGAGATTGCAGTGGTGACATCCGTTACACACTTAGCGTGACGAGGATTTGTTGCATTTTTTAAGTATCGTACACGCATTTCTTTGCGTGGCGAAATACACATATTTTTTGTCGGGGCGCAAGCCACCCATACACGCCTTTCTTTGCATGGTGGACTGACCCAGACTCCTGATGCAGCCCCCAAACGGGGGATGATGCCAAGAGGCTGTCAAAATACTGCCAGATTTTATTTGAGCGTCGATCGTGAAAGAGCAGCTAGATTGAACTTATCTGAACAAAAAAATGCAATCAAATAAAAGCTCCTAAGTTACATATTAAATGTTGAAATGATTACTTAAATCATAAATATGAATAAAACATGCACGACTCACATCGGACTCGAGGACTCGTCAACAAGCTTGAATGAAACTTTTGCGTGCGGAGGGGGGGTCCACTTAAACACTCAAATGAGAGCTAAGTATGAGAGAGATAAATAATGCAATCGAGGTCCAGAACGTCTTCATCGTCGTCGGGTCCGCACCTCTAGATACACGAGCGGACAGAAGGTGAAGTTGAGGCTTCAAATGAAAATATTCGCACTCATTTTAATAATAATATGCGCATGCAAATAACTATAAAATCCCCTAAAAATCAAACAAATCAACAATATAAAACATCTACGTGTGCTCCGACAATAATCTTAAGTTAAACTTCTTCGTTTGAGAATATTGTGTGGGTCAAACACATGCTTAATAAATAGTCAATTTATCTCGAAAGGCATGCACACAATTCAAAACTTTACAAAAATCTAATTTTCAATTACCAAATTCAAATCTATGTAATTATGCATGCTCTCGAATGGGTCGCCTTGCTACAGGACGATGTTGTAATTCCTACACTTCGACAAATCCGATTCTTTTCTTTATATGGGCTGGAGTTGACAAGATTGAGCCCCCACTTTGGCCAATTCGATTCTCATTCTTATATGGAATGGAGTCGACGGGATTGAGCCCCCGCTGACCCAGCCTGATCTTCCTTACCGCAACTGAAGTTGACAGGACCAATGTTTTTAATGTTGAAAGTCATAATATTCCCAATGATGACAGAGTTGACTGAAGATTTCAACCGAACGGGTTTCAAAATTAAATCTCAAACAATATATATATATATATATATATAATAATCTACACTGAGAGAGTTATAGATTCAGTCTTTATTCGGAAAGGATTTCACTGAAAATTACCCTAAATCTGGTCATCTATAAGTGGGACAAAGTTGACAGGGTTCAAAGGCATCATTCCTCAATGATGGCAGAGTTGATTAAAGATTTCAAACATAGGGGGTTTATTTTTAAAATCAATTCTCAGTCTATTTCTATATATATATATAAAATCTTCTGTAAGTGGGATAGAGTCGACGGGATTCAAAGACATCATTCCTCGATGACGATCGAGTTGACTAAAGATTTCAATCGGATGGGTCTATTTTCAAAATTAAATTATTTAAAAATGAACAAATAATATATACTATGAACCTGATCCTCAGTAAGAAGGAAAGAGTCAACAAGGTTCGAGAAAAACTTTCCCCGGTGATCGGTATACTCATTGCACATCCCAACTGAAGGCAATCTATTTATAAAAGTCAAAATTTCAAACCATATAGTCTATAAAAAAATCAAATGAAAAATCTATCATTAAAAAGCTGAAGCAAAAATTCATCCACCTTCCGCAACCGTTTTTCGAGGTAAAAAAATCTAATGTGGACTTGAGCTCACAAAGAATTAATATCATATCAAGTATACTACAAAATCCATGCTCAAAACAATTTTATACCAATAAGGATGTGGTTCGAGTCATCTGTCAGAATGACATCATTACATTACGTTCAATTTTATACCAATAAGGGTGTGGTTTTACCGTCAAATGACATCACAAAGAAGCGATTACGACTAGAGCCCTTTGACCGGGTGATTTGCCACAAAATGACACCATTATATTACGGTCACGGTTGTAGTTCGTATGTTCTTCAATGATAATCTACAATTTTGAGTATTAAATCATAGGGTATACTTGATAGGGCAAAGAGTCATCTTTCAGCTAAGGTCGACTTAGAATAGTCCTCTTAGACAAACATTCCCCCTAGGTCTATAAGGTACCCTTGCACGAATCAACCCATGGTTGTTGGCAAGGATCCTTTTGTCGGGTTAGGTTCACCACATTCGCTAGCTAAGTAGACCCGGGACCATGGCAACCCGGGATGACAGAACCAAAGGATCTTGATCAAGTTCATCATCGTTTCCCCCACCATTCACTTCGAGCTCACGGTGATAATTTTTATAATTTAAAATTTAAAATTTGATGTTACTATATGTTAAATCTGAATATTTAGCATCTAATGACTAACCTCAATCAAAAGTATTCTCTCGTTATCAGGAGGGGTACTTAACCATAAAAACTTGCGTCTATGAGAAAAACTCAAATCCAAAATCTTAAAGTCCTCGCAAAATGAGGGTGAAATCTCTGGGTAGTGTTTTATCTACTATCTTATCTATCTTCTGAAAATTCGACCCGGAACTTAACACACATCCGTGTTAAGCTCTCGACGAGAATTTAGGGCTGCTTGTTGAATTTTCAGAGCCCACAAATAATATGAGACAAAGTCACTAACAAAATGTTGAATGAAATAATAAAATTAGGGACAACTAAATTGATAATTACTAGATAAATTATAAATTGAGTGAATGATGGCATGCCACAACTAATACTTGTGAAAATAAATAAAGCGAAAACTATACACCACACAAAAATGTTGCTCATATATTAGCATTTAGGAGCATCTCCTTTTACCATTGACCATAAAAATAAAGGACATACCCACTGGTTCCTTGAAGCATAGCAAGGGCATTTAGCATACAAATGAAAACAGGATAAAAATTTTGCAAATTTGCAAATTTCAAATATGTAAATAATAACCAAATAGATTTCAAGAAATGTAGTGATGTGAGAAAAAAAAGGTTGTGTGTGTGTGTGTGGAGAGGTGCATGCTACAAATAAACTAAATGCTTAGCCTTTTATGTTCACGTTAATTAAAATTAAATCAAACTTTCAATTTTTGCAGTGCAAGCTATATTGGTTGATCAAGGTAAATTGACCATCAAATGTTTCAAAATCATTCTTTCCATAACATAAAAAATAAAATCACATCAATTTTTAATGAGAAAACAGTTAAAGCAAAATCTTTTTAATCTTTAAATTTATAGTCCGAAAAGAAATAGGAGAAGGTGGTTGTTAAATTCAAATTTGTCAATGAGCAATAATAGAACTTTATTGACAATGATGACTAAGAGACAAGAAAATAAATCTACAGAGATAAGCTCTATGATTTCACTATATTGCTAAAAAGTACAAAACTATAGCAAGGTTTAGAAGGGATTGGCTCACCCTCGGACCTCCTATTTATATGCTAGTGTCAAGGCATAGAGCTATAGAAAGAGCTATATTTAGGTGATATAAAAAAAATAAACCAAATAACTTTCTCACAAAGAGCCTAACCATCCCACAATCATTTCATTACATGTTGAGTTCTACACTTAAAGTGAATCCATAAGAAGCAACTAACTAAATTCATCGAGGTTGGTCAGAGTTTGGTGAATTGCAGTCATATGTTGCTGAAATGACTTCGCCTAATAGGCCTTGAGGTTGAGTTCCCTGGTTGAGTTGGGAAAGTGACTCTGATTCCTAGGGCAACTTCTATTAGTTAACTTTGCGGTCAAACATGCTAGTATTGATGGCTTTGGCAAGATTATCCTAGCACCTCTACTGTAGTGATCCCTCTTAGAAAGCAGGTTGGCCTTGCACTTGGCCCGTATAGATCAACAAAGACGATCCACACCATCCTGGGTGAACATGGATGTGAAGAGGCAATAAATAATTGGAAGATTTGCATACATGCCATTCAATTCTTATGTATTTACATATCTAGCAACTAAAGTTCAATTTTTACATACATGTCACCTTGCCTATGCGTGAAAATATATGTTTTACATTTTAAAAGTTAAACTAGAAATATTTTTTATGTGATATGAAAGATTTGAATGGTATAAAATGGAATGAAGTAAGATTTGGGTGTTAGATATGAAAGAACATAGGAATCAGGTGCTATGCATATAAATGCCCCTAAATAATTTCAGACAATGATTATAACAACTTATCATCTTGTTCCAATAGCATTACAAATCTCAACTATTTCTCAATAAAAGAAAAAAAGAACCTAAATTACAACCAAAACTCTCAAAGAACAACAATAACTAGCTGATCAAAAATAGGAAAATTTGAAACACAAATCCATCGTTTTTATGTACTATAGAAATCCTAATATACTTTTTTCTCCTACTTGAAGAATAATTTTCAAAACATTATGTTTTTTTTTTTTAATTAGCTGCAGAAATAGCAGCAATATATAGTAATATCTAGCTAAAATAACTGGATAAATCGCCCAAAACATTTACATAACATTGTAGCAGATTAATGAGATATTTTAGTAGAGAAATATGCATATGCCAAGAGAATTCATCCTTAAAAAGGCATAAAAATGTTAATACAGTGAAAAAAATTGGGAAATAATTGAATAAAGTATGAAGAAAGTGAATAGGGTGCATGGAGAACAACATCCAACTAATGATCGCAAAAAACTACTTTTATCCCATTTCATCGCTCCTGTTTCCTGGCAACGTGAGAATAATATCTAAATCAGAAGAATACGAGAGCTACAACCATCAATAACATTAGTCCGCTTAAATTGCTTGATTTTAATACTGGTTTTCCATTAAATTTATATCAATTTCATGCCCATTTATCAAAATTCCAGTAAAATAGACTCGAAAATAAACGCATGAATGAAAATATACCGATCCACTTCCGTTGCTAGGTGACCGATGTGAAAAACGACGGAGTGGAATGAACGGTTATGATTAAGATGCAATATACGAAGGTAATAGAAGAATCGCCGGTTGTTGATCAAGAAACTGAAGAAATGTGAAAGACAGCAGAGACTACGGTGCGCGGAGGATGAACGGCAACGTAGGGGCTGCTAGGTACCAGAATTTGAGCGGGATTTAAGAACAGTTTAGTTATTTAAGCAGAAATTAACCTAAATCCTGCCAAACAGACATATTCAAATCCCGTTTTTCATCTGTTTTGCCTAAATCCAGGATTTAGAAAATTCCATTGGAAGGCGGTTTTAGGGAATTTTGAGGACTGATGCGCATGAAGGCGGGTGGAATGAAGAATAAGAAAGACAAGAGTTACCTCACTCGATGGCTTCCGGTAGGAGCGGAGCGGAAGAAGGAGAAAGATGGTTCGGAGGTCTTTGTACGCCGCGATCCTTCGCTGCCTTCCCAGCTAGCTCTAATGGCGATTGTATCGGGAGGACAGGAACGATGGCGATGGTTTCGGTTAAACCAGAAGAGACGGGAGTTAAGAACTTCATGGCGAGGGTTTAATTTTAATTTTAATTTTATTAAAGTTGATTTCAATTAATTTAGGTTCATTGATTAATAATTTAAATTAAATTAGATGAAATTAGAAATATTTATATATAACTATTTAATAATTAATAAAAAAATATATTTATAGATTAAATTTTACTTAGTTCATAAAATTATAATAATTATTAATTCGTTTAATAAATAACTAATAAATTTTCAATTAGTGAATATTAATTTATCCTTTAATATAATTAGTTTAATAAAGCTATTATTTGTGATTGATTAGTTTTATAATAACTTAATTAATTATTCATAGAATTGTAAATAAAAGAATTTAAATTTAATTTACTTAGGATTAATCTTGAATAGATTTTGTCATTAGACATGAATCTCGAGACAATCAACTCGAATATCATAATATTTTTTCTACAAAAAAACATTCTTATTTCAGTAAATTTATACTCAAATTGACCAGCTCGATGAGACTAGCATAATCACAAAAAAATTGGTCCAATATGAGTCAAATCAAGTATGAATCAACTATTAAACTACTTTTAAAAGATTTAGGTGACTAACTGAAATGTCAAATAGATTCCAAATTTAATGAGTTTATAATCAAATTGAGCTCAATGAGACGAATCTAATGAGCCCAAATTCAATCAATTCTGATATTATTAAAGCATTAAGATGTCCACAATATATCTTCTTAATCTCTCCAGGTCTTCCAATGTCCAAAATTCTTTCTTATTTGCAGGAGACCACACAACATACTTTATGAATAAAGTCCCCCGCACCCCGCCCCCACATGGATGGGAACATAGACTTTGAACAAGAGGAAGAACTGGACATGGAGCTGAATAGTGAAAAAGGGATTGAATTCCAAGTAGTTCCGGGCCGAAGACCCGACGAACACTTCCCGCTCCTGCATTCGCCGACCAATTTCGACCACCGCTTATCGCCCACCGTCAAACACTACTCGCTGGCCACCGTCGACCACCCCGTATTCATTACAATGAATATCATCATGGAGTTGCGACGTACGCTTTGGAGTAACAAAGCATTGTGCATAGTAAAGACATTATTTTTAAACTCCAATTATTTTTAGAAATACTTAATTAATGGTTAACAAATTATAAAAAAATTTAAAAATTTAATTTAATTAGGTTTGATATGTCATCAACAACAAATTGTGTCATTTGGCACGAATCTCGCAAAGATTAGCATGAATCATAGAGCAGTTTTTAGAAAGAAATATTTAAACTCAAATTAAAAATCATCTGGACTTTGATTTTTAATTTGGGATGCTATGAGTGAGCACTGAATTGTCTCGAGATAGTCATGTGTACACCCTACACACGTGACATCAGAAATCGATACCAACAGCGATAAAAATATATCACAATCATGCTACCTCAAGCAAACCCAATTGCACTCATTGATGATGCTTAACGTCAAAAATTTTAATCTACAAACAGACACATCTCGATGAGCTTCTCTATGGATCTCTGTTTCACTCTCAAACAAGCATCCCTCATGAACGGCGTAACTCTTTTCTCTAATCTTCGATAAGCAAAGATCATAGTACTTTGTCTCAAGAGGAACAAGAATACCTTCGCTTTGGCTCCAGGTGATATGCCCTTGGTTCCTATAAGTAATCATGCATTCCTTAAAAGCGGTCCCAATTTTTATAACAATCATCCAGAAGAAGCAAAGTTTTGCTTCAGATCACTTGCAAGCAACGAAAAACGAAGTTAAAAATCTCTTGGACGAAATGTTCACATGAGAGATTATCAATAAAAATTTGTCATTTGACGCAAATGTTGAGGCGATTAACGCAAATCTTGGAGCATTTTTTTTAGCAAAAATATTCAAACTAAAATTAAAACTCTTCAAGAACTTTAATTTTCATGAATTTATAGATAAACTAGTCAACTCGACGACACAAACAAAATGACATAAAAATTAATCAAATTCGAGTCAAATTAAGACCAGATTCAAGTCATTAAATCACTTTTAAAAGCAATGGTTGGCTAATTGCAACGTCAGTTGGATTCTAAATCCAACGAGCTTATAATCAAATCAAGCATTTTGATTAAATAAATTCAATGAACCTAATATCGCTCAACTCTAACATCTTTAAAGCACTACAATGTCCAAAATATGATGTCTGATTATAAGAATCTCTATGGATTGTTCGACTGATTGGTCTAGATACAATTTTTATTTGCAGAGAGACCACTCATAATCTCTATAAATAAATATATACATTGAATTCTTACTTGTATGTCACATCATGCCAATTTCTTAGTCATTAGTATTAATGGTTTATTAGATCACATCATGATAACCATTATTAATTGTTGTTATTAATAATGTATTAGACCACATTATAATAGGTTTTCATGATGGAAATTAATTGAAATTTTATTTTCTTAATTTTGTAAGTTTATTATTTTCAATAATATAACACTTTATAATGGAGTTTTAAGTACAACTTTCACCTTTAATTTCACTATTCCATTCATTCAACATCTATAACTTCCCATAATAAAGATTGAGTGTAAAACTCATCACTAAATTTACTAAAAAAAAATATCCTCTTGACAAAATGAGGCACATTTTTTTATAGATCCATAGATAATTTAGCATACTTGATGCCATTGAAAAGATAATTCATCGGTTTATGCTCTCCCATATATATATATATATATATATTGCCAATACAAAGTGCACTAGAGAATTTGTGTAGTAACAAATCCAGGTTGAAGGATGAGATGATGAACAATCTCAAAGAAGTGTTGGCTCGGGGAGGTGAGAAAACCCCCTAATAGGAAGCGTCGACGTTCAACGACTAAAAAGTAAAATTTGCTAGAACAAAAGATCAGAGATTCCAAGTACTTCTACAGTACTAGGTTGGCACTGATAGATCAACAATAGTTTAGACAAAATGAAGTACCCGCCAACCAGAGAACACATTCTCTCAACAGATTTTTAAAATTTGGCCCCCATATAAATTTAAGATTCATGTTTTGGATATGCACAAGGGTTAGACTGATCCAACTAACAACATAGCCTTATTTAAGTTGATCATTTATTTATTGAAGATTACAAACATGTTGAAGTATTGTATATTCTTCACCGCACATAGGGAGTCAACCCTCAGGTGGTTTAATGGGCTATCGCCAAAACTAATCACCTCGTTAGTTGATTTTAAAAGGATGTTTGTTGTGTAATTTGCTAGTGCCTAGAAACCACATAAAAGTTCACAAGCCGTCATGCAGATAAGGCAATGACAAAACAAGAGCTACTGCACATTCATCACTTGATTTCAGAAGTAGATGCTGGAAATGGGCATCTAGAACCCGTAGTAATGCATAATTCCTTTTCCCAAGGGCTAAAGGAAGGTCCATTCTGGTGTGATGTGGGTCGTGCAGTGACCGAAGACCCTGATCCAATTGTTGTAAATGGTCAACAACCACATATCGTTTGAAGAGTGAAAAATCACTCTCATCACCCTCAAAGTAGAATCCTCAACCCATCAATGACGTCCAAAATTACTCTTGAGGCAAGTCGGTTAATCACGCAAGCATACATGTCGATCAAGTAATATATGGAAATGAGTTTGCATCAATCTCAATTCACTAAAGGGGACATAAATCTTGATCCGGAGGAAGAACTGGACCTGTAGTTGGCTCGAGAGGAATGACTAGAATTTTGGTGTTGTTCTATACCAAACACCGGACAAACGCTCCCCGCTTTCACAATAGCCAACCACCAGTCGTCAGTCACTGTCGATAACAATCATCCATGCCTGCACGTTGCAATGAAATCTCTCACAGAGTAGCTACATATGCTACGAAGTAAAGAAGCACCTTGTGGAGTAAAGGCCAATGTCACGGAGTAACAAAGTACGAAACATTGTGAGTAAAGACCAATGTTGCGGAGTAATTAGTCACCATACAAAGCAATGCAACAATGCACTTGGAAGAAAGTGCTTTGAAGCTTCATCAACTCTCCCACTTGCAACTATGTTGATCGTTATACAACAATTTATTCTGCACACAATCATTGTACTTTGAAGAATAATGTAACCCTTCCTCGCTTATCGGACAAGGGTCTGTACGTATCTTCATTTTGACTGTTCAACATCGTAGTTTTTTTCCTTTACAAGTATTTCAAGTAAAAACTTCCAGTGCCTCTACTTGTAACTTCAATTACTATGTGTTTGTATATGACTTTCGTGCAACACTAGATACTAAAAAATTACTTTATCACCGCAATTTGTTGGCATACAACAAGACTTAATATGTAATATTAAGACATACTTCAACTAATATACTTAAATCCTAAAACAAGTTTTCAACAAGCTTATCAGATTTAGCATTTATCATACCAAATAATTTTCAAAACGTAAACACAAGATTTTACTAAGGTCAGATTTATTAAATTCTACTTGAGTTAAAATGTTATTGAAGCCAAATGGCCTGAAGTGGGAGAAGAAGAGAACTAATTAGGGTGAGGTAGCACATCAAGTGTGTTGGTTTCTAACATATTCAAATACATATGAAAGTTTTACATTCATGCCTCTCAATTCTTCACCATCTATATATCTAACTCTTAAACTTTAAATTTTACATACATGACAGCTTCACTATACATGAAAATATGCATTTCACTTTTTTTTAAGTTAAAATAATGATCCTTTTGATGTGACATGAAAATTTTAGGTGGTCTAAGGGTCTGTTTGGGATAGCTTAAAACTATGGTGATGTTTGCAAAATGTGACTGTAGTGTTTGTTTTGCACATTTGAGCAAGTTTTTTAAAAAAAATTGTTTTGAAATTTGGCACAATTTGCCCCGCGGTATGCCCCCCCACGGGTGGCGTTTACTCCGTGCGTTTATTCGTAAATTACTCCCGTTGCACTTCGCGCGCCTGTAATTTTATTATCCCGCTCTCTGCCCTAGCTCGCGATCCTAGCCGCTCCGGCCTCCTTCCCGTTCCCGCCTTCCGTTCTCTCGCATCTTGTTCGGCCTTCAACTCCCCTTCCGGCGTTAATCGCACATTTCGGCATCTCGCTCCCTGCATCTTCCGGCGTTAATCCCCTTTCGACGTTAATCACAGGGTTCGACATCTCGTTCCCTGCATCTTCCTGCGTTAATCCCCGGGTTCGACATTCAGCTCCTTTCTCCCTGCTTCTTCCAATGTTAATCTCAGGCGGCCGGTAATCCTTTGCAGCTTCTCTCTTCGACATTCTTCCCCTTCCAAGTAATCTAGGCGGCCGATAGCTTTCTTCCCTTTTTCTCTACTCCCAGGATGGCTTTTCATACTTTCTTTCTTCAAATGCTTTCCTTTCTTGATGAAATATCGTTGCCAAGACTTTGCTTCTCTTTGGCATCATGCCATCTTTTAGAAAGCCTTGAGCATTGATCAAATTCATTCATTTTTCCTGTTTGCTTCATTGGAACGTTGGTTGATGAAGTAGTGACAATATTTGCGGCAATTTAGAGATTCATCATTGCTGGTAGTATACTTATGATAACTTAAAGCCAAATTTACAAATGTGCCAAACATTTGCTATACATTTACACATACTACACCAAACATTTTACATTTATATTTACAAAACTCTTATGTCATAAACTCATGGTTGTCTTAAACCTCTGATTACAAAAAAAAAAACATTGCACTTTTAAAAATTTGAGTTTTATACATGTAAATATAAATATTAAATGGCTAGATAGTTCAATAGATAAGAATTTATGTAAACTCCCCTGATTTTAATTATGCATGCTCAATGAGAGGCAATCTATTAATGAAATAACTATTGATAAACATTTTATTTTATTTGTGAGGTGATTTTTTGTTTGGTTAAATATTTGCTGCTAATGTTATTTAATGTATTCATTTTCAATTTCCCTTGTGCTAGTAAATTGAGCAATGAATAAAAAAAAAGATGTTGGATTATCGGCCATGTGGGAGAGAGATGACACAGATATTTTCTGTGATCTCTGTCTTAGGGAGGTTGAGCTGGGAAATAGACCGACCACGACCACATATTTTAACAAATTTAACAAAGAAGGTTGACAAAATGTTATGGTAAAATTTAAGGAATTGACAGGAACGGACTATGATATGATGAAATTGAATAACAAGTATGATCAATTAAAGAAGGACTGAAATATTTGGAGAGAACTTAAGAGGGGAACTACAGGTCTGAGCTGGGATCCAGTGCAACGGACAATAGATGTTCATGATGATTGGTGGGCCGAGAAACTAGAGTTAATGACATACCTTTGATCACTTTCATTATTCATTTTTAGTTATATTAAGAGGGTTTAGCTAATTCAAATTTTTATGCCGTGTAGGTTTTGCCAGCAACTAAGAAATTCAAATTCAATGACATCAATCCAGTAATGGAAGAGCAGTTGGATGGCATTTTTAAGGGGGTTGTTGTAACAGGAGCTCATGCTTTTACCCCATATGAGCCTAACTTCATTGGCGCAGCAGATGTCCTGGGAACCAATCATGTAAGTGACTTAGGAGGAGTGCCCTGCGAAATCCAAAGGGATGTGGAGTCTACATCCGTTCCAAAACGGCCTAGAGTAGAGAAAAGGAAAAAAGAGCCGCATTCGTCAGGAGCACAATCGAAAAACTAGCTGAATCCTGCAGAGTTAAGCTTTCTGCTTCACAGGAAATATCTATCAAGGGGTGTCATCAAACTCTAAATACACATGCTGAGGTTAAGACGGACAATAAATTATTTATCAATTGTGTCAAGTTACTACAAGATCCAATTCGCAGAGAATTTTTTGTGAAATTGAATGCAGAATACCAACTAGATTTATTACGCTCCTTGGAAAATTGAATGTTTTGAACTCTAGTCGTTATGTTTTCTAAAAAATGTTTGTACCGTTGAATGTTCGCATCATTTTGAAAGAATAATATCTGTAAATTTTTTCATTTTACAAATAAACCCGTTCGACATAAAATTATCGTAAGTTGATCATTTAAACTCCAAATCATACTATATTTTTACCAAATGAGTATCTTCACAAATAGAAGACTAAATCTAAAATCGATCAATTTTGAATAAAAAAAATTAATTAAATAATACTAAAAATTCATAGAAAATTCATTTTGCAGGGTGGTGTAGTAAAAGTCGGGTGTCGTAGTAAGTGTAGATTTTTATTTTCTTGTTGAGCCTATTATAAAAGTAAAGTTCACCTTAGTGATTGCAGTTTTGTTGATAACATTATAATTTTTGAGTGTCAAATTATTCATTTAACTAAAAAAAATCTGCAAATCAACTATTTACAAAACGCACAAACCAAATAGCTAAACAGCTTATGCAAAACAGGAGCAGAATAGTCATTTATCCAAAATCAACTGTTTTCCAAACGCACAAACCAAACAATCAACACACACACACACAATAACATGGGTACACACATGAAATATTTACACTCAAATATTATATATTTATAAGGTTAGACAAAGGACCATATTCTTTTACAATACTACCAACAATGTCAGCTGCTTATATCAAATTTGTGCTCAAAACACAAAATTCACAAAAATATAAATAAAAAATTAAATTATACAACAAAATATATAGCCATGCTAACATAAGAAACTCAAATCTCTGCAACTAAAGTGCTAGATAAATCTATTTTTGTACTCACTTTCAACACTGATCAAATATTAGATTAGTTTTGCATCAACTTCCTGCTTCAATATTCAAAGTTCAATGGCACTTCATAGATCTTGGATCTTTTTGCATTAATATCTGAAAGGTCAGCAGGTTAGCTCGGCAACTGATAGCTCGACAAGTCAACTTGACGTCAACTTGGCGTCTGGCTGCCTGTAGATCAACTCGTCCGGCCAACACGGACAGCCAGCTCGACAGATCAATTCGGTAGGCCAACTCAGCACATGGCAGTTCAGCAAGTCAACTCGGCATACAAAAACTCAAAAAGTCGACTCAGCACCTGACATGTTAATTCTGGCAAACTAACTCAATAGGTGTTCTTGTGTTTTTAGATGCACACAACATCAATATTAGTATGCCTCCACGGTAAAACTCCTAGTTTCAAATCAGATGCTGACCATTCTAAATACACAAGATTTTCTTCGTTTCAATAAACACCCCATAATGCCAAAATTAAAAAGAGAAAACAAGGTTTAGTCACCGAATTTAATCGATAGATTAACATTTAAATTGACTAAAATAATCAAGTAACAATTGTTGGCTTAACCCTAGCTCTGACAGTTGCTCAACACAGCCAATCGCTCAAGAAAGCCATATTTGATGTATGCCCAACACACTCTTCGTGTGCCGCGATATTAAACTTTCCGCGGAATACCACAACACACCATTTCTCATGGCGGAAGCGCTCGGCCGGGCATCATGAAGTGGTTATAAACAACTCTCTCAAAAAAAATAAGAGAAAAGACCAAAATGATTTATCGAATACTTGATGGGGATTATTTTAGTCCCAAAATCTATAAAAAGATCAAATTAGTCTCTGAACTCTTTAAATTAGAGCTGAAATAGTCCTATTAGAGTTGAGGTCAAAATAAATGGCAAAAGGTGTGAAATGTACATTTGGAATTTCACGCTTGCAAGCACAGTGAGGGTAGTGGTAGCGAGGCAAACGCGAGTGTTGAAGTTCAATCCAAGTAGTGAGCAGAGCGTGCGAGTGAGACACAAAGTTTCCATTACGAAGGAAGCATGAGTGCGACTTGGCAAGGAGAGTAGAAGTGTGAGGTAAGAGTAGTTAAAAGTTAGATTTACTAAAATCAACAATAAAATATATATTTCAAAAATACCATCTTTTTTAACACCATGAACATCAATTTGCATGACTATAAATGGCATGACTATTTCAGCCTAAATTTTAAAAGTTTGAGGATTAATAACTCTTAAATTAACATGACACACAACAAATATTCAGAAGATCATTTTGATTATTTTCTCGAAAAAATATAAACATCAAATACTACATGTTTCGCCCGAAATAAAATGCTCATTTTCCAGCAGAATTCAAATAAATGAGATTTTTATTTAAGAGGCCACATCAAAGAGAGTTTATGAAGATATTCAGACAAGGTCATGTCCCTACCACAAGATATTGAAATTCAAACAATTTTCCAGTGGTTCAGAAAAGCAAATATATGGCTTTTCTATGAGAGATTATATCCTAATCAAGCAAGCCACGCACAACCATACACACTGGTGCGCGCTCACACAGGCATACATTCACACACTGCACGTAATGACAACATACAAAAGAAACTTGAAAGATTTACATACATACCATTCAATTCATATGAATTTACATATCTAACACCTCAACATAATTTTTATGTGATATGAAATATTTTGGTGGTGCAAATGTAAAAAGTGAAGTTCAGGTGTTAGATATGTAAATACATAGGAATTGAGTGGTATGAAAGTAAATGCATGGCAAAAAGAAGTGAAAAGTAGCAATGGACAAAAAAACCAGAGAGTAATATTGGCCTAAACCTCGCTCTAACTGCTGTTCAGCACAGTAAAGCGGCTAAGAAAGCCATGGTTGATGTATGCCCAACACACTTGCGTGTGCCACAGTATTAACCTCTCCCGTGGAATACCGCGCCACACCATTTCTAACAGGGTAGCGCTCGGCCATGGGCAACAAGAAAGTGCTTCACAGAAAAAGGCATAAAAAAAGGTACATTTACATACATACCACCCTATCCCTATTTATTTACATATCTAGCAGTTAAAAGTTTACTATTGTGTATTTATACCACACAAAGATTTCACATCACATTAAAAATACCACAATTTTTACTTTTAAAAGTTAAAAAGTGAAATACACCATTTTCATGCATAAGTAATGCGGCATATACGTAAAAATTGAAACTTTTGGTGTTAGATATTTAGAAATTTAGGCGTTAGATAGGTAAATACAGAGGAATTGAGTGGTCTGTATGTAAATCCTCCAAGGAAAAAAATCAGTTCAAGAATTAACAAGTATGGTCAACACACGGCTCGTTAGTCCTTACCAGCAATAAAAAGTTAAGATACGCCATGTTAATTTACCAGGTGAAGTCAGACTAATATATTATTAAGTTGGGGCATTAAAGTCACATCAAAACACTACCATTACTATCTTTTAAAAGGTGAGATACACCTTTCCATGTAAAGGTTTATGACAAAAAGCGTTACAAGTGTAAATATCAAAATTTAAGTGTTAGATATATATACACAACATAATTCTGTGGTATGTATGTGAATTTACTAATTAAATTTTCTGTCCCTGAAAAGAATAAGAAGCTTCTGAAAATACATAGTAAACCTGAACGAGGTAATGCTCAAACCACGCATCGACCCGATTAAAAAAAAGAAAACATTGCTTGCTCATACATTTAGAGATTTATGTAAAGGAGAAATCAAGATTTAGGATGTAGGGTTTATGAGACATTTAGAGTTTCTGAGGGTTCTAATGAAGAACTTTTAGGGTTTTAGGAAAAAATAAATGGTAGAAGCTACAGCGTATATAGATGTGAAAATCCAATAGAAGGTGAGAAAAGAATGATGGAAGTAGTGCATCTCCAACTCCACTGTTCATTTCAACTTGGGAAGCCCATCGATTGTATGGAACAAAAAGAAGGCAAAAGAGGGAAACTAGGGTTTAGCTCTTCATCCCTCTTCTATATAAATCATTAGTGGCCAACGACTTCCTATAAAAGATGATGGAATGCACTGGGGAGAGAAGAGAGAAACAAAGAAACGATGGTTTTGCTCTCAGTTTTATAGAAAATAGGGAAATTTACATTGGTAGCACTCAATTCTTATGTATTTGCATATCTCACAGCAAAGAACCAACGCATTTATATTTAAATATATAGCATTTGGTGCTTTAAAGTTATACATAAAAATGTGTATTTGACTTTTAAGAAGTGGTAATAATGCTATTTTTGATGTGATATTACAAAATTGAGTGTTATGTGAGTACATTAAAAAAAAAATTGGCGTGGGACACGTAAATACTAAATACATAGAAATTGTGTGCAATAGGTGTAAATGCCCTCAGAAAAGATATTAGTCTGATTTTTTTGAGCAAATTTGCTTTAAGAACACCCCACTATTGGTTCGATGTTAAATCTTATTTGAATATTATAAAAAAAAGAACAAAATGCTAAAGGAAAGCTGGAAGGGCAAAAAATAAAAAAGTTATAAAAAATCATGAATCAGATTGAAATGAGCCCTTAAAAATTTTTTAGAATAGTAGTTGGCAATGAAAACAAAGTTTTAGAATTTTGCTGACTTAATAACATCAATAGCTTGTTCAAATTGCTCTAGACAAGTTTCCATGGGTATAAAGAACAAACATGATGGTCTTTAAATCTGGTTCTCGAGTCTGATTCAAGAGAGAAAACATGTTTAACAAAAGGCATAAGCATAACAACTATTCAGATCAATTTTGCGAGCTGGCAGGTCAGTTTCAGACTAATTCTGGATTGGCATGTCAAACCAAATGAATAAATGTGTAAGGATTCTTAACCCAAGCCCGACCCTAAAATTATTCATATAAATCCTGAATTTAGATTTTTAAGTCAAGTTCGGGTCGAGTTGTTGTGTCAAATAACAGCTCAGCAAGTCAACTCAGCACCTGACATGTTAAACTCAGGCAAACTAACTCAATAGGTGTTTTTAGATGCACACAACATCAAAATTAGTATGCCTCCACAGTAAAACTCCAGTTACAAATCAGATGCTCACAGTACTCTAAATACACAAGATTTTCTTCATTTCAATAAACACCCCGTAATGCCAAAAAGGAATAAAAAGGGTTTAGTCACCGAATATAATCGATAGATTAACATTTAAATTGATAAAACAAAAGAATAATCAAGCAAAAAAAAAAAAAACGGATAATAAAGCAAAAGGGTGAAAGAGAAAAGGAGAAATACTGGCTTAACCCTAGCTCTGATAGTTGCTCAACATAGCAAAACTCTCCAGAAAGCCATCTTTGATGTATGCCCAACACACTCTTGTGTGCCACGATATTAAACTCGTCCGCGGAATACCACACCACATCATTTCTCATGGTGGAAGCACTCGGCCTCAGGCATCATGAAGTAGTTATAAACAACTCTCTCAAAGAAAATAAGAAAAAGACCAAAATGGTTTATCGAATACTTAATGGGGATTATTTTAGTCCCAAAATCTATAAAAGCACCAAATTAGTCTCTAAGCTCTAGAGCTGAAATAGTTTCCCTATTAGAGTTGAGGTTCAAATTAATGGCAAAAGGTGAGAAAGGTATATTTGGAATTTTATTTTCTACTCTATCGTAGCTTGACCACATGAAGAGACTAAGCACACCACTCTTGCAAGCACATTGAGGGGAGTGGTAACGAGGTAAACGCGAGCGTAAAAGTTCAATCCACGTAGCGAGGAGAGCGTGAGAGTGAGAAACAAAGTTTTCAATTCGAAGGGAGCATGAGTGTGACTTGGCAATGTGAGTAGAAGTATGCGGAAGATTAGTTAAAAATTAGATTTACTAAAATCAACAACAAAAAATATATTTCAAAAATACCATCATTTCTCCATTACTTTAAATGGCATGACTATTTCAGCCTAAATTTTCAGAGTTCAGGGATTAATATGGTACTTCTGGAAACTCTGAAATTAAAATGACACCCAACAAATATTCAGAGGATCATTTTGATTATTTTCTCGAAGAAATATAAACATCAAATACTACATGTTCCGCCAAATTAAAATGTTTATTTTCCAGCATAATTCAAATAAATGAGATTTTTTTAAGAAACAAAATCAAAAAAAAGTTTATGAAGGCACGCATTCATACTTCATGTCCCTACCATGAGTATATTGAAATTCAAACAATTTTCCAGTGGTTTAGAAATGCATATATATTGCTTTTATATAAGACATTATATCCTAATCAAGCCAGCCACGCACAAACATACACACCGGTGCCCACGTGCACGCCCACACGCTGCACATAATGACAAAACACAAAAGAAACTTGAATGATTTACATACATACCATTCAATTCATGTGTATTTACATATCTAACATCTCAACATCAATTTTTATGTGATATGAAATATTTTGTTGGTGCAAATGTCAAAAAAGTAAAGTTTAGATGTTCCATATGGAAATACAAAGGAATTGAGTGGTATGGATGTAAATGCATAGCAAAATGAAGCATCTAAAAGTGAAGAGCAGCAATGGACAAAAAACTTGGGAGAAATATTGGTCTAACTCTCGCTCTAACTGCTGTTCAGCACAGTAAAGCGGCCAAGAAAGCCATGGTTGATGTATGCCCAGCACACTTGTGTGCGCCACAGTATTAACCTCTCCCATGGAATACCGCGCTACACCATTTCTAACAGTGTAAGCTCTCGGCCATGGGCAACAAGAAAGTACTTCATAGAAAAAAGCATAAGAAAAAAGGTACCTTTACATACATACCACCCAATTCCCACGTATTTTCATATCTAGGAGTTAAAAGTTTGCTTTTGTATATTTATACCACAAAAATATCTCAAATTGGGCAACAGCTATGTATTATACAATTGTTATATGCATTATAGATATTTATTGAACAGACGACATTTTTACATAGCTGTTAAATATCTCAAATTTGGGGGCAGCTATGTAAAAATGTCTTCTGTTGAATGCAACTGTGCAGAAAAGGAAGCCAAATAACATAAAAGGTGGCAAAATTACCTGAGCAGCCATGAAGCAATCTGCTAGCTCAATGGCTGATCATACAAGTCGGATAAAAAATTATTCAACAGCCGATGCCTAACATATCAGAAATCTAAATTGACCATTTAGCCAGCTTTTTACCTCTTGAAATGAACAAAGCTGTAGACCGTCAGGCTCTACTTAAAACAATTATTACTTGTTTTAAATGGCCATGCCAACTAATCAAACCCTAATCCGCGCATAAAACTTTTTTAACAAGCGAATCGCAAACAGAAAGCTTCGTGAACAATCAACAATGGGAAACAGCAAGATCTAATCCGATCACACTTGATGAAAGTATTACACTTGCTCAAATGCTAGCTAGCCGTCACTCAGCAAGTTCGAAAAAAATAACAATATATAGATATAGAATCAAATAGGAAGCCCAATACGATAGAGTTGGTCTCACCGTTCTGGTACTACGGGCTGCATTCAGTAGAGCTTAGAACTTACAGAGATTAAAGTTGTCGACAGCGGAGAGAAGGTCCAATCGGTAGCAACGCACATTAGTGTAGAAATAGGCTCCATGAATGTTGAAGTTCAGCGATTCAAATTCATAATAATGGGGATCGCAAGAACAGAGGCGTTCCGATTGAATGGCGAGGCCTTCGGAACGATCGGGGAACGGAAGGCAAAACCCTAATCCGAGAGAATTTATATTAAACGGCGCGAGTAAAGCCTAGCACAGCTGTTCATATCTGATTATCTTGATAATCACGTTCATTAACGATATAATTAAAAAATTTATAATTTAATTAAAACTTAATTATGATAATTAAAGCTTATTTTGGACAAAGTTTTCTCACTTTTCATTTTTGGGCCCTTTAGGTAAAAATCATGCAATTAATATGTACTTATAATTCAGACCTAAAATGTCGGTATTTTAATTTTTAAAAAATGAAATATATTTTTTATTATAAGTAAGTTGACATTTATATAAAAATTAAAATTTAATTGCTAGATATATAAATACTTAACAGTAAATACATATCAATTGAGTGATATGTAAAATTATTATTCAATTTTTCCAAAATATTTATAATAACTATCATAATTTCTTTAAAAACTAATTTTGCTCAAACAAATTTAAAAATGCACTTGCGGTTTTGCAAATGAACCCCTAAATTTAAAATAATTAGTTAATCATCCCTCAGTAAAAAAAACTTCCAACTCCTATACAGTATCTTCTTCAGGCAATGCAACCTTTGTGTTTATTTCTCCGAGACCTTGCCTACTAGAACATGTCCTGCTATTATGCCCCTTTCCCGAGCACAACTTGCAGGAATAACTCCTCTTAGGCTCACTAGGCAGGGAGTCCTCAGACTCAGAATTACCTTCGTTCATCCTTAAGAGTTGAGAACATGTCGATCGATGATGACCACTTCGTCCACACAATTTGCAGCGTCGCGGCCAGCGCCGGCGACTTCTTGTCATTTCCGTTGTCGTTGATCTTTCGCATGTGCGGCGGTTATGTCCCCTCTCCCCGCAGGATGAGCACCGGAAACTCATCTTGGTTGAAGTTTCTCTTAGTGCTTGGCAGTAGTGTCTTCTATGGCCTTCCTCCCCACAGTGGCTGCAGTAGAACTTGACACCTATAGGATGGAGGAAACATCATATGCCAAAGAAACATGCACACAAACATTTGTATGCAATATGATATTTAAATTGGAGTGAAGTGCTAAAATAGTCCCCGATTATTTAATCACAGTCTTTTTAGCAACCATTAAAAGAGTCTTGAGAATTAAAATGACAAATTATATAGATTCAAAGACTTGAATGACCCCTGCAAAGAGTTGGGAGACTATTTTCGTTTTATTTGTATGACGTATATGCATCACACGTGAAGGAAATATGAAGGATTTCTTCGACGCCACTTTCTCATAATTACCCTTTCATACTGTTAACACAACCATTTGGCTACTGTTTTATTGTTGTTTTTCAAAAATTTTAATGACGGAAAGTTGTTTTTAAGAACTGATCTGTTAAAGTATGATAACAATAACAAAGTTGTTGTTCAATTTTTTTTAAAAAAACAAGATTTTTATAATACCGACAACACTTTTAAAGAAATTATTTTTTTCGTAGCAACTTTTGCCTCAACAAAACGGCCGAGAAATCATTCATATTTGCTAGCACGCATGTCGTGTTTAACTCATTTGTTGTATGCTTGTTGCTATGATAAATATGGATGCATGCATACAAGATAGTTTTTGTTGACATTATGAACAATAAACATTGACCTATTGGTTTAACTACCAATATGATGGCTAAATTTGAAAAAAAAGAAACAAGATAGTTTTTGTTGATGCACAATGTAAACCTACCAAAGTAATCTCGGGTAATTTACCTACATACCGCAAATTTCTTTTATATTTACACATCTAAGACCCAAACTTTCATATTTGCATTTATAACACTTCGGAGTGATATAAACCTCTACATGAAAATATGTACTTAAAGTAGGTGATAGTGATATTGTTGATTTGATATTAAGGATTCAAGTGCTGCGCATGTAAATATTAAATTGTGGGTGTTAGATATGTAAATACATAAGAATTGTGTGGTAGGTATGTAAATGCGCCTATTAACCTTTCATTGCCAAGCTTCTCTTAAGACGGTTTCCAGGATCACTGAAGTAAGCTTTGGAGATTTCGGAAGCCCGCTTCCTTGCATCAGGAGTCCCTTTTGTTTTCTTTTAAGAAATGACATGCAAAATAAAACAGCATTTAATCTAACAAAGAAGATATAAAATGTAAAGAAAATTTATTTGCAAACTAAAAATAAATAGCTAGGAGGAATCTTTATAACTTTGCAAAAATAAAATGTTTCAGAAAAGAGCATTTTGTTCAAATATCAAACCTTAATTGCAGCTACTCTCTGAGCATGCAGCACTGGGTCTTGGTGTATTATCTTCATCCTCTTGCTGAATAGCCCAGTTTTAGCATTCAGACTCTGTATGATCATGAAATCACAAAGAATAAAATGAGAAATAATTACAATAAGATCATAATAAAAGCAGCATTTATTAAATAGGAAATTTACATACATACCCTCAATTCTCATGTATTTACATATCTCACCCCTAAACTTCAACTTTTATATACATAACACCTTAACCATGCATGAAAACATGTACTTCGCATTTTAAAAGTCAAAATGGTGGTATGCTTTATGTGATATGAAAGATTTGAGCTGCATAAATGTACAAGGTAAAATTTAGGTGTTAGATATGTATTAAATAAGTTTTGGTAGGCATGCATGTAAAGGTTCCTCGTCAGAAATAAGGTTGTGGTGATGCGGTTAGCATATGTACAGCCATCGGATAAAGATATGCAGTGAAGATAGGTACATAAAATTCATGTAAAAAGATTAAACCGAAAAAATGGGTAAAGCAAATATATTATACGAAATACGTTTAGACCTCATGTAATAGTCAACATTAATAAATGGAGAAAATTCAGAGACAAATAATTGAGCCCCGGTTCATAAAGATGTCGATAATGACACACCAAACTAATAAAAGATTATGACAATAATATTTCTACTAGTCTCCAACAAATGGTAAAGTTCAACAACTACAACATATGCAGCCAAGTAAAACAACTCGCATTGATATACTGCGCAGACTCTTAAAGACTTCACTTCCTTAATTATAAGGAAGATTTGCATACATACCACTCACTTCCTATATATTTACATATCTAACACCCAAACTTCAACATATAAGCCAACTTACGTATGCATTTTAAGGTGTATTTTACTCTTTAAAAATCAAAATAGTAGTGTTTTTTATGTGATATGAAAGATTTGGGAGGTATAAATGTAAGAAATTAAAATTTAGATGTTAGATATGTAGATACAAAGGAATTGGATGGTATGTATGTGAATTCGCCTAAATGTAGCTTTGTGAGTCCACACCAATTTGTTTAGTTCATGAGTATCCAATCACAATGAAAAGTTATCATTAGATAATACAGAAAAAAAACAGGGAATATTTTGAAGAAAGCAACTGACTCTCAATGATCTGCTGATCTTCATACTAACTTCAGGAGTCGGTGTTCGATATATTCTCTTAGATTTTCTTGTAACATCCACCTTTACCTCTAGATTGTCAACATCATCATCTTCTTTCACTTTGAAGAGTGAGCTGCCAAATGAAAGAAAAATTTAAGGTGTGATATATAAATAATATTAAAGTTTTAAATCAGCAAAGAAGCTATATAAATAACAATCATTGGGCAAGGAGAGTATCTATGTGGTACTACCTAGTAGCAATATGAAACAAGTGCTATAAATTAACGTTTGAACTCGTTCTGAGTTTTACAATCTTGTCCAAACATTTTTATTAATTTTTTTATTGAATTCGAGTTATAATCAAGTTTTAATTGAGCCTTGCTACATAACTGGATTTGTAACTTAAAATCAAAAATGACATAAAATAAGAGTATTATTTAAGTTATTAGATGAACTTCAACTAATAATAAGAAAACATTTTAATCTATAAATCTGGTTATTTATTTGATATTTCCAACTTGCTTATAATAATATACATAATTTTAAAGTATATAAAATATAAGAGAATTGATACAATTATGTAGAATAAGTCATCATAAAGCAATTAATTCAACCTGAACTGCAAATTTGATTTGAGTTATTAGGGAGCTGCTTGTTAAATATCAAACAAACATGTTCATGAATATGAATAAAGAAGCAGGTCAATAGTCATCCAGTTTGTTCATTTATATAATAAACTTTTAAAATTTGTTCAAGCTGGTTCAATTATATAAAAAAATAAACAGCAATGAGTCTAATAAGCAACGAGTTATAAATAGAGCGCACTATTTCACTTAGAATCCTAATAAAAAGGATTTGTTGGTGTACAAAAAATGATGCGCACAACTCATGGAAATTATAGTCTAGCGTAATTCTAGGACAATAATAATTCGTTTTATGATACAAATAAGTAAGAGAATAGTAATTTATACAAAAAACTGTGCAAATAAGACATTTACTGTTGGCTATTAAAACTTTGCTATTTTAGAAAAAAACTGAAAGTTTGCAAAAAAAGTAATAGGCTATAGAAGAGGGTTCAACAGAGTTATAGGACAGAAAATCTCCAATTAGAAACAGATTGAGATAAACCAAAGATAAAGGAAAATGAAAATAATTTTCTTTAAGGAGAAACCATGCTTCATTTCTAAATCAGATGAATTTTCAATGTTTGCTTCACTACACTCTACTCAGAATCATCACGAAAGAGAAATGCGTGAGTAATAAGAAAGATTATTTATTTACCTATCTAACACCAAACTTCATTTTTTACATATATGCCACCATACATATGCATGAATATGTGTATTTGACTTTTTAAAAGTTAAAATGGTAGTATTGTTTATGTGATATGAAAGATTTGGGTGATATAAATGAAAAAAAGTAAACTATAGGCATTAGATATGTAAATACAGGTCTGTAAATGCCCCAGTAATAATGAGACTTAAAAGATGGAGTAGTAGCTTCATAGACTTTCATTCCTGTTAAGGGATGTTTGAATTGGTTGCAAAAGGATGGATGTAACCTTCTGTAAAATAAATGTTGTCAAATTGATTGCAATTTGCAAGAGATTTATGAAGAAATCAAAACACACTAAAGTAACTTTCCTTAACTCTAAGCCAAAAATAAAGAAATTACCTTTCATATATGCATTTTGTAAAAGTTTTTTTCGAAGTAAACAAAACCCCTTGAACAAAGTTGAAGAGTAGAGGAAAGACAAATAAACGTCTTTTTAATCACAATGAGGTGCAGTCCTTATACTTGGTAAAGGAACAGAAATTATAGGTTCAATTTCACATCTAACTTTAAGCCGAAGCTTTCTAGATTGGGTTTGCTCATTGGATCAGGTTGGGCAGAACTATCATTGTCGGTGCCTGACAGATATATCTTTCATGTATATAGAGTAGTTCATTCCTTTAGGATATATATTTGTGTGTGTGTGTGCGTGTAATAATTAAACTTTAGGTGTTGGATATGTATATATAGAGGAATTAAGTGCTATGGATGTAAATCTTCCTAATTTAAAATATTTAATTTAAAATATTTGACAATTACATATGTAGTAATATACTTCAATCCTTTTTATTCAAAATTTTATATATTATTTCAGTGACTCCATTATGTTAGAGAGTTTCCGGGACCAATCTCTCCAAATTATTCTCATTAGCAATATGGTAATTTCTAAAATCTATGTCATCATACTCTTATGGTTGGATCATACATATTTATTTTTGCACTAGTATTATTTTCAATTACGCTTTTCTATCTTACAATGTAATTAAACACATTAGATTTATTTTTGATAAAGAAAACTCATACTTTATTGGTGCAGTAGTCTATGAAAGTGACATAATACACTGAGCTGTTAATGAGCTAAAATGACCCCCAACATTTACGTGAACCAATTCTAGCTTTTTCGTTTTAAGTACTTTTACACTTTTTGGTGAATTTGTTTTGCTAAAAATTAGACTTATGAATGGCATATTTAGATTTGGCCAAAAAGGTAAACTGTGTCAGGACAAGTAAGGCCAATTGAAATAATTGAAAAAAAAAAGAATAAAGTTGCATGAAGATTACAATTACAAGCAGATATACTAATATATGAAATATCTTCCATGTATCCACGCTTAAAAAGTGGATTACAAATCAAAATTCAAGGGTATCACAAAATTAAATTGATTTGCATAATAGTTTGACTTAATAATGAAGACTAAAAAAAAAGGATTTAAATTTTAAAAAGTTGAGAAGTAAACAAATTCCTTATAAGAAAGTAAATAAAACAAATATGAAAAAAGAAGTAGAATAGAAAAAAATGAGGATATGAACAGAAGGTTTTTTACTTATTTAAGTGGCTAATAATAAAGCAAATATTGAAGACAAAATTTAAATTAGGAAAGAGTTGTTACACTTAAATGTTTTCACAGATAAAATTCAAAATAACTAACAATCCCAAGAAATGCAACTAGAGACGCATTTGAAGTAGCTTTTAAAAGCGAGCTTCACGATCAAAGTGAAGCACATGACGCGTGCTTCACTTTGTTGGGGCGTGCTTCAAAACACTGAAGTTAATTTGCATGTTTTCTCACAATTTTTTTAAGTTTTAATCATTGCAACAAACTATTAAAAATTGTTTGAAATTTTAATTTGCATATTCAACCTCAATATTTGCCTTCAAATTATGTGTTGTACCGCATTTTTTTCTATTCTATATCGGCTTTTAAATCATGTTGTATATTTTATAATTGTTAATTAATGAATTTACACATTAATAATTTTGCATAATATATTAGTTCTTTGATTAATAAAAGTGTCACTTCGCCCTGCGCTCTGCTCTTTGAAGCAAAATTAAAGCCTTGTGCATCGCAAATCGCATTGGCCTTGCACTTTGCAATTTGATAACACTAGTTTGAACATAGGAAACAAAAGAGTAGTCAGGAGCCACAAACAGTTTTAGGGAGGGCTGTAAACAGCTTAAAATTAAACTAGTTTTTCATATACTTTTTCTACTGGCAACTGTTACACTCATCTAAACCATCCAGTTGCCAGTAAACAAACAGATTATAGAAAAACCTCAAAAATATGCTAAAATATTCAAAAAGAATGAATATATAAATCATAGCAAATCACATACTCGTCTAATATAACTAAAATATATAGAATAAATCAACTGAAATACTAATCAAAACTAAACAAATTGAATAGAGGTTACAACAGTCTATTAACATGGACAGGCAGAAGAGAGCAGATGCTTAATTAATCTCCTTCTAATATTCACAAGTCAAACTAAATGCATTAGATATTCATAATACCGTTGGTTGGTTATATGCAGCTAACAGTATAAATTTGATTTTAACATAAAATAACTTCACCTAGATCGAGCTTTCTCCCATGGCCGCTCGTCATAAGACTCTTCCCATATCACACACTCTCCCAAGCATTGCCAGCATGTCTTAATCCCCTGTCAAGAATTCAAATTTGATCTTCGTCACATCTACATTGCTGTGAAACAGAATATAAAACTTACGGTCAATTCAATGTACAGGAGAATATGTGAATGTAGAGAAGAAAATTTGACATGTTTTTTTTTTAAATGCAAGTATTTTTTAAAACAATAAGAGTTATTTCCAAAGCATATGTCATTATGTGCATATCCATTTGATTGAATTCCTCGTGTATGATTATTATCATTAAAATAAACTTTTTTGGGAAATTTACATATGTAGCACACAATTCTTATGTATTTACATATCTCACACCAAAACTTTTATATTTGCATACATAGCACTTTTGGTGCTTTAAACCTATGCATGAAAAGGTGTATTTCACTTAAGGATGTGATATTAAATATTTGAGTGCTAAATGTGTAAATACGAGAGTTTAGGTGTGAGATAAGTAAATACATAAGAAACTGTGTGCTATGTATGTAAATGCCCCAACATTTTTACATCAAGAACAGTTTGTTTGCTTTCCCATCAATAGTGAAAATTTAGAACTTGCAATATATAATAGCAAGCTCAATAAGCAATAACCATGGACTCCTATACTTGAATGAGCACAAAGAGATACCTTTCCGTTACACTGAAAACAATCAGGTCTTGATCTATCAATTCCACATTCGGGGCACAGTGTATAACCCCTTCCCCGACAACTTGGGCAGGGTAACTCTCTGATGTACTGACCATTTGGACCAAACCATGATCTCTCCTTTCCATCAGATAGTGTAACAGTCCTATAAAAGCAAATCATATACCACACAATTCATATATATTAACATATCTAACATCTAACGATTGATATCTACATTTATAACGCTATGGTCTTATAAACTTAAGCATGAAAAGGTGTATATTGCTTTTAAGAAGTAAGTAATTGTAGTATTTTTTTATTTGTTAAAATTTTGAGTGGTAAGTATGTAAATATCAAAGTTTAGGGTTAGATAAGTAAATATATAAGAATTGTGTGGTATGTATGTAAATGTCTCAAGCAAATCATGCTATATAGATTAGAGCAAGTAAATCTGTAAAGGACTCAATAGCATAATGTATATACCATTGCCAGCAAATCATGCATGTATATTTGGTCATTTGGGTCAAATAAAAAGTTCATCGGCATGTAAGATTTCATGTTTTACCTTTACTGAGGTGAGCTTTCATGGCAAAGCAAAGAAAGAAAAAAATGTTTTTAAAATAAAATAATTAAAATAACAAAAACAATAGTCTTGTCCATAATCAACTCAGTAATTATAGTAGCAATGTCAAATTTTTTATCTATAGAATTCTATTGTGGCAGAAAATGCAAAACATGACAAAGATTTGATCAATATGCAAGTAGTTCCACAATCACGCTTGATCCAAAAAAATTCTTTTAATATGTGTAGTGCTTGATTTTCAATGACATATTCTCTTCTGAAAGTAAATCTGTAAAACATGTCAAGGAAATGGGGAAGAAGAACGAGTGATGTTTACCTTGAATGCTTTTAACTTCTTTTCTCAAATTGTAACGTGTGCTATATTATGCTTGAAAAGACAGCCGCAATTAGGACAACATATAAATATATGAAATAATTATCTTGCAATTATTATATAAATATACTATTTTTTTCTGATCAAATATCCTTCACCTTTTTCATTTATCATGCAACTTCAGAAACACTCGTTATTAAGAGATCCCGACCCAACTTTTTCCCTCCTTTATAATAACCCTTCATCATTACAACCAATTTAGTCCTATTAATTTGAGGAAATTATTTCTTACAAATAGCTTATGAAAAAGTGTCAAGGGTGGAGTCGAAATATTTAGGTGGCAGCACAAAATAAATTTATATATTAGATTAAGGATCTTATGATAGTGCAAAAACTCAACTTTTTTAGTTTGAACATGCAACTGGCATTGGCAATTTTAGAAAAATTTTATGATATTATCATGAAAAAACTAACAGTTGCCCCAATTTAGGGGCATAATTAAAACTGTCACTCTCTCTCTCTCTCTCTCTCTCTCTCTC